CCTTAACCAGAGCTTCCCCTTCTCTATTATTGGCCCAGGTATAGGCACAACCCTTGCTTTCCAAATCCATAAGAGCGCAAGCATCCAAAAAGTCGTGGAAGGCTTTACTTCTGTAATTCTCCGCCAATCTCTTCCCAACTTTCTCCCAGTGATACAGGATCTCATTAAAATCTCCAACACATAGCCAAGGATCTCGGTTTAAGCGACTAATTTGTTGGATTCTGTCCCACAGTCTTAATCTGTCTTGAAAATCAGTAGGTGCATGGACGAAGGTAATACGCATTTTCTGTTTGTTCTCTCCCATAACACAAAGCACATCAACAAAATATGTGGAGCTAGAGTCAATAGAAATAGTAACTTGTTCATTCCAAAATACTGCTAATCCCCCAGCCAAGCCAATTGGGTTCACTACGAAGCATTCTCGAAACTGTAATTTTCGCTGCATCCTTTTAACGACGTCTTCTTTATTTTTCGTCTCCATTAAGAACAGGATAGCGGGCTTTTCTTTAGCCACGAGGGCTCGAATAGCCTGAATTGTCAGGGGTGAGCCCAACCCCCGACAATTCCAACAAATTAACCTCATTTGTACCCCGGTGGCTTATTAGGGCTAGCCACCAAAGCCCGAATTTGAGCTTCTTCCATAGTCTGGATGGGAGTGTCCAATAACCGCTTCTCATCTAACGCCTCTTTGCTAGATAGCTGCAATTTATATGGGGAATACCTCTTCTGCTTCTTACTCATGTTAGCCTTGTGACCTTTGCATTTTTTCAGTTTCTCGACAACCAATGGTCCTTGCTGGTTACAAGCTAAAAGTACCCCTGTGCCACCTTGCAATTCTGATGCAGGATCCAGCATTGTCCTGTCAATGTCTTCCCTAATTATTTCCTCCATCATGACTTTCTTGCCCTTTGCGGCGGCACTACTACTACTTTCCATCTCCGGAGTACCCTCATACACCACTAGCTGCCTTGAATTCTCTGGTGTCTCAGGTATAACATCTTCTTCCATCAGTTCTTCTATCTTCTTTCCATAAAATAGATCCCAGTAGGGGCTGAATTCGTTTGCCTCCGCCTTTAACCATGAACCAAAGGGTAATTCTTTCCTATTTGCAAAACGGTCTTCAGTGAAAGGAACTTCTCCACAATGTTGTGCGTAATGTCCCAATCTTCCGCATGAATAACAATAGTGAGGGAGTCTTTCATACCTAAAGTCCAGCCACAACTTCTTCCCCCTGTTGCTAAACATCGATCCTGGTAAAAGAGGAGCCGAGATGTCCACAGAAACTCTTGCCTTTCCTAGTTTGTAGGCTGTATACCCCCTGGTTTCAATTTTAATATCTGAAACAATACCTATTTCTTCTGCCACTTTTTCTATGACACTCTCAGAGATCCATTCTGTCGGCAATCCATGTATATGGACCCAAAACGTGCAAGACTTAAAGTTGTAACAAGCAGGAGGAGTGTCCGGCTCCCACGATTTGAGCAAGAGTAGATGATTCGCAAAAGACCAAGGGCCTTGCTCAAGAACCTTATCTCTATCCGTTTCCGACCAGAATCGAAACTCAAAGATGCCTGGGGCGATCAGAGATATTTCCACATTCTCCATTCTCCAAACCCTACGCATTGTATTCTGAAATGCCTGAATGTTTATCTTAGGGTTTTGGTAGAGTTGGCCGATTAAAGATAACTGACATTCCTTTATCTTTTCTGCAGAAATCGCCTCATCCGCTGCTTTAATCTTCCTCTTCGACCACAGTCCTCCTAGTCTCTTACACAAGGCAGCAAGACGAATTTCAGACTCCTCTGACTCCTCCATGAAGTGGGCTGGAGATTTTCAGTAAAGGGTCGTAATAACGGGTGAAGAGTGGTTGAAGTAAACAGAGGATGCTCAGAATTATGATTCAGGGATAAAATGTAGAAGATAAGAAAAGGGTGAGGGTTTAGAATGGAAGTAGGGTACTGGATTTAGGGTGGGAAGAAGATTTGTTGGAATGGTTTCTGTGTATCAGCCATCGTTTCGAGCAAATAGAGGGAAAACGGGAGGAAGTAGTCTGCCGGTGAGAGGGGACTAGGGTGTGAGGATGATTTGGGTGAAGAGCGCTACCCGACGGTCGAGAAAGCTCTCCAGCGAGAGAGAAAGATGAAGCTCACAGTACCTCAATAGTTTCAGGCTATTATATCCACAACAACTGCCACGAACTCTACTGACGTAGCCACAGAGAGACACAACAAAGAAGAATCCCAGCTTATCTTTCTATCAAGCATTTTGTCGAACACTAGATCTGCACGTGGAAGTAGCTTCCGATTAGCAAAGGATTGGAGGCTCGATCAAGGCGGTGATGAACTAGATGAGTCAAGCATCAGCTGAGAATGCTTGGTTTCAAGACGCATCAACTAGTAACAACGAACTGAAACCAGCAGTGAAGAAGGAACTGTAACCACGGATGGACAACGACTCAGATTAAATGATATGGCTTTGGGCGGAAGTGGAAGCACAGAGGCGTAGGGTGGTGTAGACGATGGAGGATTGGAGGGGCAATGGATGATGGGGAAGGACTCTCATATCGAAATCGAGAGAGGAAGCTCCCATAGAAGGGAGAGAAAAGCTCGAGAAAACGCCCGAGATTTATAGCCTTGTCCTTGCCCAGCTTGATATCATCACCATCCAGCTCCACACCGTCCTTGGAATGGTACTCGCAGGTCATCTTGCAAACACATCCGCCATTATCCGATGGGACAATTTTCACATCATAAATGGCGCAGTCGATTTTGTCGAACTTGATATCACTTTCGAGCACCATGTATTTGCAGAAGGAGTTCTCTGCGTCAAGAATGGGGGCACCTATTACACGAAAATTCATGAAAGCAGAAGATGGTTCGATTTTGAAAAATATCATAAATGAACTTCACGTGATAGAGATACATGGTATGATCTTACCTTGGCCCAACTTAGTCTGTCTGCTGCCACCAACTCCGCTATCTCCCTCGATGAACTCGGCACTCTTGATGCCCTCGGGGACAACCTTGGGAATGACTTTGTGCGGGTCAAGGACCAAAGCCTTGAACATCCGCGACGGAGCAACGGTGGATGGGAACTCCTGATAGTGGTTGATGACTCCCATGTTTTCCTAGTAAGAAACAAAGAGAAATGAGCTCAAGTAGGAAATCGAAGGATTTGGTGTGATTGCTAACGAAGAAGGCCTGTGCTGATGAAGATGATGAAGAGGGCCACTTGGTTCTTATAGGCAAGTCCCGGATGGAACCGAATCTCCGGATGCCACCGAAACCATGTCCCGGATGGAACCGCAAAATTACTTTCAAGCCCTTAGCTCTTTTTTTTATTGGAGGACCTAACACTCAACTGCACGGTGAGGTAAAAGGACATGGTCACGAACAAATCTCTTTTAAATTTGGCCATTAAAGTCGTTAGAATAACCTAAAGTGATGCATTCAATAAAAAAGAAATCTACATGTTTCGCCAGACATTGTGAGCCTATCACAATAGACTCATATTTGGAATATCACCGCTCGGAAAAAGCAATTTATAACGAAAGTTTTAGTCATAATGCGAAGCATGTGGTTTGAACGTAATGAAAAAGTGAATGATGTAAGATAGTTTGGTAAAATTCAGGATATTGGCTTGCAATTATAACTTAAACAAAAAAACATTTTTGCTAGGGTAAAAGTCTGAGTTCAAGCACAAGAAATCCACGACATTCCCATAGTCATTCTTTAACATCTACATATCTTATAAATGTACATTCTTTTCATAACTAATTTTTGTACAAAGAGGTGATCGCGGGGTTACTGGGCCTGCCTGTTAAGCTTCGACAACCCCCAGAACCTAAGCGTAAAATTGGCGATCCTAGATAAGTTAATCCCTTTTTGGCTTCGATTTGCCTAGACGAGATCCTTTTCGAAAATAAAATTGTATATTTTAAATTATGAAATGATTTAGACAAGAATTTAGGGTTGGTATAATTCTGCGTTCGTTCGTCGTGCTATGAACTACAGTCGCGAAATCGAAGGGGATCCCATTTATTTTCCTTCTGTTTCCAAAAGGCAATTTTGCTAGTTTGACTTTTCAAATGCCATGATAGCTACGTCATCGGATCGAAATGACTGTACTTCAAACTTGGATTAACCCACAAAGACTAATGTCTCTCTTGGGACCCTTCTTTTCCTTTTTTAATATTTTGCAAAGTACTTTTCGACCTTTTATTTTTCTTATTTTTTTCTAGTCAAATTTTCTCATCTTTTTTTGGGCCACATATTCTCCATCTTGTTTGACAGGATGGTTTTAATTAGGTAAACAATCTCAATGTTTACTACCATTATTAGCGAAGAAGCACACTACAGCTTAATTCATCAATATTAAGTTGCATAGTTACGATGAATACATTTAGGGGAAAATTTTATTTTAGCTAATCGAATAAGATTAATTCATTTTGCCCCCTCTCTCTCTCTTCTTTTTGCAATTCATTCTTAAGTCAAGTGAAAATTCACCTTCATGACCACAAAGGCAGATTTTTTCTTGGGCAAAATCCATAATTTATTGGATTGCTCATTGCTCCTTCAAGTTTTATTTTTTGGCATGGCCTTACACACAACCATCAAACCCTATAACACAGAATCACACAATAAAAACCTTTCCTCACCCAAAAGCTTCGAGGCAGAGCCAAAGGGAAAACAGAAGATACAATGCAAACTTTCCACTCACTTCACTATATCATCACTCAGAAAGGATCTTGAGAAAAGCATTTAGGCGCAAACATCGGGGTTGGCCACAAGGTACTCCTCAACAGCCTTGAACAATCCCATGGCTCTCTCTTTCGCCTGCTTGATGACCTCCTCCTTGAGCTTTAGCTCACAACCTTCCTTAACATGGTACTCACTGGTCATCTGGTAGACACATCCAACATTGGCTGCAACGAATTTCATCTCGCAAACGACGCAGTCGATCTTAACTCTCGATGAAAGTGTATTTATAGTAAAAGCTACCTGCGTCGAGAGCATCGATCTTGTGCTTCGTGTACTTGATGTGGGAGCCTATTATGTAAATTCATTGAAGCAAAAAAGTTATTTCTTAATTCTGAGGTCTATTTATAGACTTGACATAATAGAAGTACAAGTATGATTCGACTTACTTTCACCAAAGTTGGTTTTCTTAATGCTACCAACTCCACCATCTCCCTCGATAAACTCGACGCTCCTGATGCCACTGGGAACAATCTTGGGCAGGACATTGTGTGAGTCAAGGACCAAAGCCTTGAACATCCTCTATGGTGTGACGACATTTGTGATCTCCTGCGAGTAGGTGATGACTCCCATGTTGGCCTAGTAAGAAATGAAGAGAACTGAACTCAAGAAGGGTAGTGGAAGGGTTTGGTGTGATTGCTAATGGAGAAGAGTTGAGCTGATGAAGATAATGAAAAGAACTACTTGGTACTTATAGGCAAGTCCATTTGGTTAGTACTACTAGACCATAGTCCTCCGACTCCACCAGAATCATAGCGTGAAATGGACGAGTTTAGATAAGTCAATCCCTTGTTGCTCCAATTTGAATAGACACGATCCTTCCGAAAAGAAATATTGAATTTTTTTTTAATTTAGAATTGATGTAGACACGAAATTTACGCTTCGTATCGAAAGGAAATTTTGCTAGTTTGACTTTTCATAGGCCATTATAGCCACGTCATCAAACCCAAATGACTATAGTCTAAACTTGGGATACCACCTCTCTAGAAAAAGCAATTCGAATAGGATATTTTGGTCATAATGTGAATCATCTGTTTTCGTCGGAACCGAAGCGTAAAATAGGTGAATCTAGATAAGTTAATCCGTTTTTCAGCTCCAAATTGCCTGCATACAATCTTTTCGAAAAGAAAATTGAATTTTTTATATCTTGAACTGATTTAGACAGAAATTTTAGGCTTGATACCAGACAACCATGACCACCATTGCTAAGTTAAAATTCTATGTTCGTTCGGTTTGCTATTGAGGACAGTCACGGAAATAAGTTTAGGAACCGATTCTCTTGGGGAAAGGACAGACTCCGATTCCCACCATTAGATCAAAGGCTAAAATTTAATGTAGATGGTGCATGAAAAGATAACAAAGAAACCATAGATATTATAACACGATCGGCTAGCGGCTCGGTAGTCCCAGCTTGGAAAAGAAGAGAATGTAGGAAACTCGCCAAAGGAAGTGTAAGCAGCAACTCTTCTTCTTGCTTGCAATTATGCTCAGTCCCTGACATCCGAAAAGCAATTTTTGAAATTGATTGCAATATCTTAATTGATGTCATCTAGCAAAAGGGTCTTTGCCCTTGGAGTATTCAACCTTCCTACTTGGATTAACTCACATAGACAAATGTCTCTATTATGACCGTTCTTTTTCTTTTTTTTAAAATATTTTTCCACCTTTTCTTTTCTTTTTTGCTATTCAAATTTTCTCCATTTTATTTGGAAAACAATGCTTGCTTTCCGTGATTTTCAAAGAAGCGCACTATAGCTTAATTAATAAATATTAAGTTGCATAATTATGATGAATACAGTTAGTGGAAAATTTTTATTTTTATAAATCAAATTGGAAAAAAAAAAGAACAGGTTCCCGGTGTATTCTCATCAAAAGCGAAGTGATTCACTGCCACTTCTTTTACTTTCTGGATTGCCAGAGTATAGAATTATTGTCTGATGACAAATCTATCTAGCTTAGGAAAAGTGCAATGAAATGCCCAATTTTCCCTTGCACTTCATTGTGCCCTCTATCTCCTCTTTATGCAAACTCATCCATAAGTCAAGTAAAAATTCACCTTCATGACCACAAAGGGAGATCTTTTCTTGGGAAAAATCCATAATTTATTGGATTGCTCATTGTTCCTTCAAGTTATATTTTTTTGCATGGCCTTACACACAACCATCAAACCCCTTTATAACATAGAAATCGCACGATAAAAACATTTCGTCACCCAGAAGCTCCGAGGCAGAGCCAAAGGGAAAACAGAAGCCACAATACAAACTTTCCACTCATTTTACTCTATCAGCACTTAGAAAGGATCTTGAGAAAAGCATTTAGGCGCAAACATCGGGGTTGGCCACGAGGTACTCCTCAACAGCCTTGAACAGTCCGATAGCTCTGTCTTTACCTTTCTTGATGTCCTCCTCCTTGAGCTCACAACCTTCCTTGACGTGGTACACGCTGGTCATCTTGCAGACACATCCGCTGTCAGTTGCGATGAATTTCACTTCTTCCATGACACGCTCGATCTTGTCGAACTTGATATCGCTTTCGATCATGGTATATTTGCAGTAAAAGCTACCTGCGTCGAGAGCATCGATCTTGTGCTTCGTGTACTTGATGTAGGAGCATGTTATGTAAATTCATTAAAGTTAGGAAGTTCTTAATTCCGAGGTCTATATATAGACTTGACATGGTAGAAGTACAAGTGTGATCCAACTTACTTTCACCAAAGTTGGTTTTCTTGATGCTACCAACTCCGCCATCTCCCTCGATGAACTCAACGCTCTTGATGCCCTCGGGAACAATCATGGGCAGGACATTGTGTGAGTCAAGGATCATAGCCTTGAACAGCCTCGATGGTGCGACGACACTTGTGATTAGACCTGTCAAATGGGTGGGTCGGGTCGGATCTGGGTCAGGTCATAAATGGTCCAACCCAAATTGACCCATTAACCCGTTTATGACCCATTTATGCGCAATGCAATTTTCTTAACCCATATCCGATCCGACCCATACCCGATCAGACCCATATTGCTAAAACACTTCCATATTGAATTAAATATAGGAAAATTCATACCCAAGCTGAAATGAGAGTGCAGAGTGAGTGAGTGCAAGATTGAGTGTGACATTCCGAATTTCGACCCATTTTTGGGATTTATAAAATGTGTATTTCATCAATGTGTTTATAGTAAAATCTCACTCGGAACTGATCACTCTTGAGTTATTTTTAAATTAGAGGTTTCGTTAGAATCGCACTCGATCGAATTTGGCTGTTATTTAGAGCCCAAACTTGGTTGTCGAATTTCTCGGAGTTTCGTGACGAATTTAATTGGACGATGTCGATATTATTGTGGCAAGCGTCGATATTGCCCAGAATTGTTGAAAAGTGAAATTTGGATCGGGTGCGGATTTAGACTAGTAGACCTCTCTCGTAGTGTGTTTTATTTAGTGTCTTTTGGCCAAATCCTAAATTATAATTAAGATTTTTCGTAGACCATTGGATCGACTTCGAGTTTAAATGTGGGCCATCGGGTCTGCTCGGTCACGTCCCTTCCTCCCCCTTCCCCATGCAAACCTCTCTCTCTCTTCCTTTTTTTCTTTTTCTTCTTCTTCTTTCTTCTTTTCTTCTTCTTCCTTCGTCTTCTTCTTCCTCCCTCGCCCTGTTCCTTCTCCCCTCTACCGACCGCCGCTCGCCGACACCCGACCGCCGCACGCCGTCCGCCTGACCGCATTGTGTCGCCATCCGGTCGTCCGTCGCTGCCAGGGCCACCGTCCGTCCATCCGACTCCCCCGACCCGGCTATTCCCCTTCCCCTTTGCACGCGAGCAGCAAGCTTGCCGCCGCGGCCCGGCTCCGCCGAGCCGCCAGCCAGCCTGTCTGGCCTCGTCCAGCCGCCTGCGACGCCGCCGTACCGCCCCCGACCGCCGCCGGCTCGCCACCACCACCCCAGCTTCCCCTCTCGCCCATCCCCCGACCCGGCTGCCCGTCCCCACCATCGTCGCTGCAACCGTCGCTCGTCGCCGTGCAGCCCAGCTCGTCGGCCGCTCTCTTACCCGCCTGGCCGAGCCGCTCAGCTAGCCGGCCAGGTCGCTCGCCGGCCTGCCCAGCCACTCGCCCAGCTCGCCGGCCGCCTGCCCTCATCTCTTTTTTATTTTAGCACTTTTCTAATAAATTTTAGCACTCAATTGCATTTTCATGACTTGTTTTAAGACTTACAATGCACTTATTTTAAAAAAGTATAAGGAAATGCCCAATTTTCCCTTGCGCTCCATTTTGCCCTCCATCTCTTCTTTATGCAACTCATCTATAGGTCAAGTGAAAATTCACCTTCACGACCACAAAGGGAGATCTTTTCTTGGGCAAAATCCATAATTTAACGGATTGCTCATTGCTCCTTCAATTTTTATTTTTTGGCATGACCTTACCCAGAACCTTCAAACCCATTATAACATGCCAAAACACACGATAAAAAACCTTTCCTCACCCAGAAGTTCCGAGGCAGAGCCAAAGGGAAAACAGAAGATACAATACAAACTTTCCACTCACTTTACTCTATCATCGCTCGGAAAGGATCTTGAGAAAAGCATTTAGGCGCAAACATCGGGGTTGGCCACGAGGTACTCCTCAACAGCCTTGAACAATTCCAGGGCTGTGTCTTTACCCTTCTTGATGTCCTCTTCCTTGAGCTCACAACTTTCATGAACGTGGTACTCGCTGGTCATCTTGCAGACACATCCGCTGCCAGCTGCGATGAATTTCACTTCTTCCACAACGGAGTCGATCTTGTCGAACTTTATATCGCTTTCGATCATGGTATATTTGCAGTAAAAGCTACTTGAGTGGAGAGCATCAATCTTGTGCTTTGTGTACATAATATGGGAGCCTGTTATGTAAATTCATTAAAGCAAAGAAGTTAATTGTTAATTCCGAGATCTCTATATAGACTTGACATGGTGGAAGTACGAGTATGATTTGACTTACTTTCACCGAAGTTGGTTTGCTTAATGCTACCAACTCCGCCGTCTCCCTCGATGAAGTCAATGCTCTTGATGCCCTCGGGAACAATCTTGGGTAGGATATGGTGGGAGTCAAGGAACATAGCCTTGAACAGCCTCGACAGCCTCGACGGTGTAACGACACTTGTGATCTTAAGGAAGAGGACAGTAAACAAGGTAAAGAAAAGGCTATGGGGTTGTACAAGGTCGTCGAGGAGTACCTTTCTGCCAATCCCGATGCTTATGCTTGATGTGCATTCTAATTAGACCTTTTGTTTTCTAGAAAACATTATGTGAGGATTTTTCAGTAAT